TCCGCTCAACTTGTTTCTCTCACATGCAAAAAAACAAAAACCCCCACCTACACATACAGTAACAGACACAAACAGCACCCAGAGTTAGTTGGTCTCACAGGAAGGTAACAGAGTACATCAGGCTCCAGGAATAGCCAAGGCAACATGCAGAAAACACTCACACTGTTAGCAGGAGACTCAAAGGAGAGACACAACAAAGGAGGAGGTTGAAAAAGAGTGAGGAAGAAGTTGAAGAGGAGAGGCTGCGCCTTATTCTCTTGACTTCCCGAGCACAGAGCAATCATTTCAATGCCGGGCCTTCCCTTTGCTACGTTTGCCTCTTTGTCTTATTCATCTTGCAGTGCCCTCACACCGCGACGTCCTGTCAAACAATGCCAGGCTGTACTCTTTACCTCTGACTTGTCAGTGTGCCTCTGCTGTAGCTTTACTAATTCTCTCTGCATTTATTGCACTTGCAGACTGAGATCATGGCCTCGCTTGTTTTTAGGAAAAACAAGCGAGGCTAGGAGTGTTTAAAGAGCCTTTTGTTGTACAACGACACCAGGCAGCAGCGCTAAATTTGAGCTGTTGTGTACCAGTTAGCGAGTGGGTTACTTGGGGACTGTTGCTATGCTTCTACAGATAAAACAGTTCGGCTGCAGCTTCGAGTTCAACTCCAATTGTTTGACACTGCACAACAGGACGTCTTCTGCACTCGTTAGGTGCCTCATTAATGCCAAAAAAGACCACAGCAAAACAGCAAGGCGACAGCGAGCCAGGCAGCCGCACTATCGCTGCATAATCAATGGTTTTTAAGAGCTACGGAGGACCACGAGTGCCAAAATTAGAAATAATTACATTATATTAAACAGGACATAAAAATTAAACAAAATCAATTAAATGACATCAACTGATTCAACATAGCTTTAAATTATTTAGCTTTACTTCATTTCCTATTTTAAAGTATTTCCCTTAATAAATGATGTATTTGTTATTGCTCTGATGCTTCTTTAGGTATTTCTGATTTACACAAATAAGTAGACTGTAATTCAAAGTGTGTTTCTTTGTCTGCTAAAAAAAAATTGAGACCAACAGCTAAACAAGATAAAGACGATAGATTTCTGGAAAAAGAAAGTATCTCTATTGAAATAAATGAATATATATCACATCAAAGTAAACTGGGATGGAAAATACAACCAGAACCTTTTCAAATATAAAAATAAAATTGGCAAATAAATCAATCTGTCACATTTCATTAATGAAATTAATGCCTACAGTATTTTCTTGATGCAATTAATGGCTCATTTACAGTGATGCCCATAACTTGTTGGGAAAAGGCAACATTTTCAGAGTTTTGCGTCTGTACAACACCACGTGGGAGACTTTCAGCTTTAATTCAACGAAGAGTTTTGCATAAACTGTTTAGGAAATAGAGGTCAAACTCATGGACATCAACAGATGTTGTGTTTCCTTCACTGTTATGGCCCTGTCCATAATCTGTTTTGGTGGCTGTTGTTGTCTGTGCCTTTAAGTCTTTGCAGGTCCCGGAGTGGATGAGCTGACGGCTGCTGATTGGTCCCCTGGCCATGTGATCTTCTTCAAATCCCTCACCAGCAGTTGTCCCGGGGCAGCCACTGACAGCAGCAGCAGACCTGACCCTGGCCTCCAAAACTTGAGACTTTTGTGCTTGTGATTTGTGCGGCTTCTCTGAGTTCTGTATATAGTGTGTATATTAGCTTTCATTGTACATAGCACATTGTAAATAGCACTGCAACAGAAGGGGTGAGCTGCCGTATTGTTTTTCCTTGCACTGTTTTCTCCTGTTTATTTCAGTTAGGGAGTTAGGTGTAGCGCTTGTCTTTTGTTTGATGTTTGATTTCACATAGGGTTTTAGATAGCACCTCCTCCTGACTTAGCTTGTTTTGTTTGTTATTTTGGCCTTTGTTCACCCTGGAGCTTCATTTTTGCAGTGTAGATAATAAAACACGATTCACTAAGGAATTGGTTTCCCTCTGTGTATGGTTTTGGGGACCAGGGCGGGGTAGTCTTTTCAAACTTATGTTGCGTTCCTGTACCCCTAGACTGGGGCGTAACATTCACTGAGATGCTCCAACAGGCCCTTACTACAGCTCTCTTTAGCTGCTGCTTGTCTGTAGATCTCCATCTTCAGTTCTGTATCTTGTAACTAAAAAGCCTCTGTGTTGGTTTGACATCAGGTGACTGACTTTTTTTTTTTGTCCAATTTTTTCTTGGGTTGCTTTGGCAGATTTGGCTTTTGTCCTTTTTGCAGAACTGTGCAGGCCAAGTCTAATCTGGTCTTCTTGTACTTGCACTTTGTTGTAAACAGTCTGTATTTCATGAAGGTGTCTCTTGATTTTACACTCTGACAATAATACTCATACCTCCTTGAGATTGCTCCTGAGTTGGTTAGATGTTGTGAATTTATTTTTCTTAACCATGGAAATAATTCTGACATCTTTAGTCACATCCTGTGGGGTTTTGGTGGGACTTTTTGGTGTTCCTGAGCTGGCCGGTGCCGTCCCCTTTTTTTTTAAAAAAATGAACCAAATTGTTGATTTTGCCACACTGAAAATTCTTGCTGTTCCTCTCTGGTAGGTTTATTTTAGTATTAGAGCCTAATGACAGCCTCCCTCACTCACACTGTCATCTCTTTGGGTCTTACATTTAAAATTAGTTAAAAGCCTAAAAAATAAAAATTCAACACTTTGAATCAACTTTGGATATTAAGTCTGCTTTATTTTTAGAGAATAACAAGGAACTGTAACTGAAAGTGCCTGTCAGTCAGTTTTAAACCTCTAAAATACGGTAATATGTATAAAAATGGCTGCAATTTTTAAACAGTTAATGCAAAATGTTTGTTAGACCTCTGAAAACCTTCACAGTCAATCACAGACTCAGTGATTTTAAATCTACTGTGGTGGTGTACAGAAGCAAGACTGCAAACAAAATGTGTCACTAGTCCAATAAATTAGAGACCCAAACTCATCATTTCTATAAGTGGGAGTTTCAGTCGTCCATACTTAGCATGCAGCAATTAAAAGAATAGTTCATCTCTCTTTTGGCTTTGGAGAGAGGAGGGGAAATTCTTTCACTGTGAAAATATCACAACGTCATGTCTGCCTCTCCGTCCGCAAGAATGCAAAGTTCGCTGTCAGTAGACACACACACACACACACACACACACACACACACACACACACACACACACACACACACACACACACACACACAAAAGAGGCATTTGGAGGCTGGGCCAGACAGTGGGTTCTTGCCAAACTGTTGCCTGGTTGTTAAAGAAACAGCGACTTGCACAAAGAAAGATCTTTAACTGCCGCAGAGTCTGAATAGGTGAAAAGAAGACTGTGTGTGTGCTTAGTCAATATTAGCTCTGACACACACACACACTCTCAGAGGGGGGGGAAATATCACGAGCATGCCTTGCTCTTAACATAAGATGCTTAGCAGTAATACCTCTGACTTTAGAAAGCACTGAGAAAAAAGTGCTAGTATTAAAAAAAAAAAGAATCCCTGCTTTCTTCTCTCTGATGTTTCCTTTATTTTTTGACAGTGATTACGCAGTAATGCTCGGGTCATTCACTATTAAAGCACCTGCACCATGCGTGTTGAAGAAATGATGTCGTGCATGACAAGTATGAAATAAACAACATCTAAAAAGGAGGAGGACGGAATTTAAATGAGCTGAGCCGAAAGCCGTTGCAGAGATTCTTTTCATGCAGATGAAGACGGAGGGGTGAAGCTTCATTTTCTATTCATGAGGTTTCATGGCCTTTTGCTTGTCGTGCCAAGGCTGTGTGTGTGCGCGTTTGAGTGTGTGTGTGTGTGCGCGTTTGATAGCGACTGCCACCTGAGGCCGACACACACATATTGCACTGAGTTGACACCAGATCATTCTGCGCTCGAAAAACAGGGGAAGAGCATGCCTTTGAGGGCTTGAGGTGCAAGTGTGTATGGTTGCACACACACATGCTATGAAGACGTTCATGCAGGAGGAGGAGGTTAAGCAGGATTGGGGGGGCGTAGAGTATGCAACCCACCACCTACAATGTATGATCCTTTTGTTTTCTGCGAGAGGAGGGGGAAGAAGAAAAACGTCTGTTTAATGACTACAGTAAACTGTGCAGTTTTACTATGAGTTCAACACCCACACTGTCAGCTCGCATGCTGTTGACTTCCAGCTTCACACTCTAATGATTTTTTAGTAATGCATAACCAAGGTCGCAATCCAGCAAGCTGTAAAGTTTTACTGTTGTGTGTCAGTGTGTGGGAGACTCCCCCTCCCTTTAGGCAAAAATAGGAAAAAAAATTCACCCAAGTTTATTTCAACTATGAGCCAAAGTATGCTCAATTTAATAAACTGTCAATCCAATCAGGGCTGCAGCTTATGATTATTTTGTTATGGATGAATCTGTCAGCCAAGGACACACCAATTGATAACTCGCTTCTGAGATATGGTGCTGATATTTGAACAGCACCAAACTGAGCTGGCTGAGGCATAGCAGAGACTGTGACAGCGACAAAGGAACTAGATGACACCAGGATCAGTCACATATTGTGGCTGTGTGCTATGAAAGAAGTCGCGGGTGGGTGAAATAGATCTGTCAGAAGCAACTGCTCTATGCCAAGTTAATTTTGACTCATTGTTATATAAAATACCAAAAAGAAATCCCACAACCCAACACTAAGACAGCATCTCTGATTACATGCATCCACATTTAGCCTACACTTGCTACTTTAAAGATACAGTCAGCAGAAAAGAGGATACTGTAATCATAAATATGCATAGAACAGTATGTAATTACTTTTCCAGCAAACTGATGCCTTCTAATAAACGTATAATTCATCTATTAAAAAGCTGGTTTGCAGAAGCCAGCTTGTTCACCAACCATATTTGAATACAGTGGCCAGGAAAGACAAGTCACTGCACATTATTGGCATTTTACGTAAGCAGCTTGAGATCAGCCTCCTGTCTCCACATCGCTGACAACAAGTTGGCTAAACAACAATAGTTGGTTTTAAACTAACTTTATGCTAGCTAATGTTAGGGTTAAGTGTCAAAAAACACAAAACAAACAAACAAAAACATTCCCTTTGATAAACAGTTTGATTACATTCTCACATCAAATGAGAGTTTATTCACTAAGTGTCTGAGTCCAACAATGTTACATCCGCTTCAAAAAACCTTCACTAACCCTGGCTAAAAGCAGCTAACAGACACTAAGAGCTGCTAATAAACACCAAGAGAAGCTAACGGCAGCTAACAGAGGCAAGCAGATGCGCTTGTTGATGGTTCAACATATCCTCAACAACACCATCATTTATATTCTCTACAGTCGCAGCAGATGGCTGCCCCTGCTGGAGGTGTCTTCCTGTTCAAAGTAAGTTCTTCTTCGCCACTGTTGCCAACAGAGAAATGTCTGATTGTTGAGGTTTTTTCCCCCCTTTACAGCAGATCTCATCCAACTAGTAACTAAAATTAACTGACTGACTGTTGTTGCTCATTAAGAATAATATGATACTGTACAGCAGGTCTGCTAGTTTCGCTGTAAATGCCTTCTGTAGAAAAAACATACACTTTAATAATGCTCTATCACACAGACCAGCAGCAAATCATCACCATTTAGAATCTGAAACAACCAGATAATCATACTTTTGCTATCATTTTGAAAAACAATTAATAGCTTCATTATTTCTCAAAAACAATGTTCTATAGTACACAGCCTAACAGTTTCCGCTTCTCTAATGTGGGGATTTGGGCCTTTTTCCTGTTAAATATTATTGCAACAAACCCAATATTCTCGATTTTTTTGTTTAGTTTTTGCTGTTTGACCAACTAAATGAAGCAATTAACGATGCCACTTACTGCAGTATTTTACACAGATTAATTAAGACAACCAACAGATGGATTGGTAAAGCAATCATTAGCTGCAGCCCTCTTGGTGATCAATTTCACTCCACTGAATCCAAGGACGGGCCCTCTATTTTTAACACATTTAGAACAACAAAGAAGGCAAACAAACACAAACAAACAGAAACAGGTCATTAACGGTATTGAAGTGAATTATAATGTGTGTTTATGGGTAGCAGTGTAACAAAGAAAACAATGTCCTTGATGTTCGATCATAAACCACGGGGAGGATAAAAACAACGCTTCAAGCGATTCCACTGAACTCACAAACAAAAAGGAAAATTTATTCTTGACAATTAGAAAGTGCTGTTGCTGTCCTGTTTTTTTAAGCCCTTCATTTTTGCAATTAACTTTAATTTAATTGATTCAAGGTCCAAAGCTCATTGTTTGGGGTTTTTAAATCGGCGTCAGGCATGCCGATGGCCCGGAGCGCTTAAGCAGGCCAACTTTAACACAGCTCAGTCTGTTTTTTTTATATCCGTAACGAGTATTTAGAAGTGAAAGGGAAAGCAGGAAAGCAAAATCAATTATACCAGAAGGGAGTTGCCTGGATTCAAACAGTAAATTCAGGTTAGCTTTCTTTTAAAGAAACAAAAAAGGAGTAGGGTGGAGAGTGAAAAGGAAGTAAACAACTGGTCAGGAGGGAGAAACAGGCATAGGCAGGGGTGAAATAAAGTGTGAGTCAGTGGATGAAAGCACAGAGAGAGCAGTGAGATAAGAAGTAGTGCTGCAGGAGAAACTCTTTGGGGGAAAAAAGGTGAGAAGGTTGGAATTAGAGAGGTGGACGGTGAGATGTACACTGACCTGTGAGAGATCTGGGATGTCACCCTGATCTATTCCAACTTGCTGTCGTCAAAAACAAAATTTACAAAAGGAAAAAAAAAGAAAAAAGGAAGGGGTTGGGGGTGGGATAAAATGGAGAAGGAAGCATAAAGAGGAGGGCGGGGTCCATTTGGTGAAAATAAAAGGATGAGAAAAGAAAAACAAAACAAAACAGGGGAATCATTACTTCATGCAGCGGCAGTGTCAACAAAAACAGAAATAAACATGAAAAAGTTTGACATCTCAACAGTGAATGACAACAATGACTGCACAGTGATAAACATGTCTGACCGATGAGGGAGAGCAGGCATGAAGGATGGCGTGATAACTCTGAAAACACTCATAAAGGACGCCATAACCTGCACCAAAACCATCTCCAAAACACTAGGACACGACATAAACAAGCTTATTTTCCCCTCTTTCAAACCTGTTGTCAAACTCACCTTCAGGCTTTACCAACAGGAAATATGAGTAACGTTTAATCCTGTTACTTGAAGATCGTTTGAGTCAATGAAGAAAAATGTACAGCCTCTTTAAATTATTAGACCAGGATAGCATTTAAATAAATAAATGATCTGGTCTGAAGCAAGGTTTAAAAGATTAAAATACACCCTCAGATGAACAGCAACAATATTGTGTAGTTAATTTAAAAACAAAAAAACCTACTTATGCTGCTTCTGCATTGTAAGTAAGTGGACTGAGGACAAAAGACATCAGGAATGATCTTAGAGAAACAACTGCTGACAATGATTAAAAGTCAAATCCTGAGCAAAGTCCATCATTCTACACTGAGAAAGATAATTAACAACTTTCCCAGCAAACCCACCCCTAGGTGAAAGAAACGGCAAAAACCCAAGAGTTACATCTCAGATCTACAGGCCTCAGTTAGCATGTTAAATGTTAAAGTTCATGACAGCACAGTTAGAAAAAGACTGGATAAGTATGGCTTGTTTGGAAGGACTCTCAGGAGAACGTGTCTTCCTTCTAAAAAGAACACGGCAGCATGATTTAGGTTTCCACTGCATCTAAACAGACCACAAGATTTGCTGAAGAATGTCCTTTAGACAGACAAGATAAAAATCAGATGTGTGGTTGTAATTCACAGCTCGACATTTGGAGACAGCCAAACTCAGCATATCAGTACAAACACCTCACACCAACTGTCAGGCACGGCGGAGGTGGGGTGATGAATCTGGGCTTGTTTTGCAGCCACAGGATCTGGGCACGTTGTCATTGGGCTGAACATGAACTCCTCTGAATACCAAAGTATTCCAGAGACAAACATCTGTCTGACAGATAAGGACGAGGAGTTTGACTCTTTTTCAGCCATTCTGTTTTAGATTTGCTCCTGTGTTTGGGGTCCTGAATGAAATGCTGCGGTGGTACCTTAAGCAAACTGTGCATGAACAAATACCTACAAGCCTCAATGAACTGACTACACATGGTAAATAACAGCGGGACAAAATTTCTCCAAGATGATGTGAAAAACTAATGAAGTCCCACAGAAAACAGTTCCTTCAAGGTGCTTCTACAAGCTGCTCAGTCCTGGGGTGCACTAATTTTCTATAAACTGTTTGTGTGTTTTAGCTTCATTTTCTTAATTAAATAAGGACATTGTGCAATTTGTCATATGTTGCTGTTCATCTGAGGTTGTGTTTACCTGCTGAGGATTTTTTAAATTATGTCCTGATACGTAAAACATTAGAACTGAAAGACAGCATATTTTCTTTCCCCCCCTTTTTTCAACTTTAACCAGTGGGCTTGCATGAGAGAACACAGATATCCTAAAGTAAAAAGAGTCAGATTGGATGTTAAACAGTCTTTACCCTGCTAGCTGCACAGTCCAAAGTCAGTAAAATGTCTGATTCAGCCACTGTAAGAATTAAACATGTGCCTTCCAAAGACGATATTTTAATTAGTTGGCCTCCAACTTATACTTTTGATTATTTATCCTGTTGTCATTTATCACAAAACAACCAAACATGAATATCAAGGGCACATTTCAAGTCAATCCAGGTGCTTTCAGTTATTAAACGAAAGCTTAAGAGTTTAGAAAAATGGGACGGTCCCATTTTAACAGGAGGCCTTTTACACTGCAGACATTTTTCACCAATCACACGACAAGAGGGGTAAATCTCAGAATTAATGAAGACTAATGTCCAGTCACCTGAGTCCTCTCACTGTTCATGTTGCTCCCTTTGATTAGAACAGTTCTGAGCCACTGGTAATCTTTCTAACTGCAGGGCCTGAGCAAAAATGTCTGCTGTGGAAAGCTGCTTTCTTAAAATGATGCCCAACCCTCATGTGCAAATCTGCTTCAACAATCCATTGAACTAAAAAGGTAACACCTCAAGATCTCAGTTGTTTTTAGTACATTTACTACACTGACTACTCATCTTTTCGATGTAGCGTTAATGACCACATGGAGCAGACTCATCTGCACCAGCTCGCTACTGAGAAACATGTCATTTAATTTATGGATATGTCATAAACTGCATAGATGGCTTGGAAATCCCTGAAATCTACATGTTTGAATCATGTCATGTAAAACATGGAAGCGAAAAAAATATATGAATAGCTCAGAGCGCTACTCAAAAGCCAATTATAAAAGACAAAAGGAAAGTGACTGGGAACATTTATTTTTTTATGTACATTAATGGAGAGAAGATAAAACCCACTAATGTGGAAGTTACAGCAGCTGATCTCACTGTTTCAAGTCTGCTGAAACACCGGGAGGGATGAAAGAGAGGGGGCACCAGAGGGAAGACAGAAAGAGGGATGATCTGTAGGCGCTGGGCGAAGGAGAGCCACACGAGTATCCATCTCTGTCAGGGGCGGAGGGAAGAGCGAGGGAGGAGAAAGGATGAGATGGAGGAGTGTGGGGAGCAGAGGGAGAGCGAGCTAACGGAGCGCCTAACCACATGCTCCATCTTCGGGGTTATTTTGGGTGCATATATATGTAAGTGTGTGCAGCAAATGTGGGGCTGGGAGGGCAAGTTAGGAATTCTGGTTTGAAGAGCGTACAGTAGCTGTGTGAGCAAAAATGTGGCCCTCTTTATATGCATTTCTGGTTCACCATATCTGTAGGTTTTATGTATATATAAAGGTTTTTTGTTTTTTGTTTTAAAAACCTTTAAGGAAAATGGTCAAAATTGCCTTCAAAATAAGGTGTCTGCGTGGAAAAATATACCTCTGCCACTTTGAGGAACTCTGAGAGCTTCGTCATCCTGTAAAGGAACTTCTTGTAGATGTCCAGGGCATCTTTACACTGGTTCTTCTTCATGTCAAAGTATTTCTCTACAGAGAGGGAAAGACATACAAATTTAAAAGGAAAAAGGAAGACAGAAGTGTGAAGTACAGTACGAAAGTCAGAAGTCTTGAGCCACCCCTCATTTCTACTCGTTTGTCTACTAAGCAGCCAGACTTTGGAAAGTTTTCTTGAGTAATAGTTCTCCAGGTTTTCTACAAGTCTTTCACAGTTCTTTCTTTGGACATTGGCTGCTTTTTCACTCACTTCCAGTCCAGTTCTTATACCTGACCATTTTCAGAGCCATTCTTTTTCCTTGACTTAACAAATGCACCTAACTCAAGGCATGGACTAGTTTTGTGTCTTTACAAAAGAGACCGTTAGAGAGAACCAATTTTAAATTGTATCTTTAGGCACTTTATTACTTGCCTGTCACCAAAACATCATTTGTTTGCCTTTGTTTAGTTGAGTCTATGAAAAAAGGCCAGTGATAACAGAGTTTGACAGGCATGAAATAACATTTTTGCACCAACGAGGTGAAGAGCTGTTAGCCGACAACTTGTCATATGCCAGCAAATCTGAGAAAACCGGACAAATGAAGGACAAAAGAAGAAGTGACAGGCCTGAAAAACTGTTTACAGCAGTTGAAGAGTATCTGAAAGTCATGTCCTTAAGAAAAAAAAAATCCAGCAAAGACCTGACATAGTTCTACTAGAGACCTGCTGTTCACTGAAGCCCCGTCAGAAATGGTCTCAGTGGAAGGGTGGCTGTCAAGAAGCCATTCTTAAGGAAGGGAAACAGGGAGGAAAGGCTGAGGTATGTCAGATTACAAGGCTGGCACAGACTGAAAATCAGTGACAACAGGTCTGATCGAGCAGGGAATCTGAATTTGACATTTTTTGTTCAAATCAGTATATAAGGAGGAGGTCAGGAGAGAGGTGGAGGCTCTGTCATGGTTTGAAGATGCATTTCACTCAGTGATGTTGGGGATCTTTTAAAAACTGATGAAATTATGAACGCAGAAAAGTATCATCGGATTATGATGAAAAATGCAATATAATCTGGAAATGGTTTCATCCATAACAGCATCATTTTTCAGCATGACAATGATCCCCCAAACACTCCCAATGCAGTAAAAGCATACTATGATAGACAAACACACAGTGGAACTCTATCAGTCATGGATTGGCTTCACCAGAGCCTGGACCTCAACTTTATTAAACCAGTGTGGGATCATCTCGACTGACAATGGAACAAGGCAGAAACGTCCAAAGAAAAGCTTTAAATGTCCTTTAAAAGCCTGGAGAAATATTCCTGAAGACTGCTTTAAGAAATTACAAGAAACCTTGTCCAAAGCCCCTTTTCCATTAGTACCTACTTGGATCGATTCGGCACAGTTTCACCACGGTTTGCAGGGTTTTCCATTAGGTCATAGTACCTGGTATCAGGTACTTTTTCAGCACCTGCTTGGCCGCAGTTCCAAATGATCCAACCAGGTACTAAAATGTAATGTCGTCACACTGCATGCCACCGATTAGCTGGTCAGTATTGTCACTCGAGAAGTCATGAGAGCGTCTCGTTCACAAAAATTTGAACCTCGGCAATGAGGGAAATGGCTACAACATGGTGTTTCAAGAAATCAATTATTGAAACATTATTTTCCCAACAAAATATAGAAAATGAGGGGTAGCTCAAGACTTTTACACAGTACTGTAAGGAAAGGAGGAAGTAAAGAAGACAGGAACATTCATCGGCTGTAGAAAAAGAAGCTTTTGGCAGCTACATGACAGCTTGTCAAAACCTACTGTGCGCACACGTGTGTGTATGTGCTGGCGAGAGGGTTTTTATACATCTGCTTGACAAGAGCGTGAGTGTGAGGACACACACAAAAAACAAACTGCAGATATACCTCATCATTCCTGACACATGTAGGAGAGAAAGCTCGCTGTTTATCCTGCGTGTGTGTTCGTGTGTGTGTGTGTACCCAATAGGTTGATGACCCCTTCATTGTAAGCAGCAAACAGCCTTATGGAGTCCTTGAAGAGCAGCATGAAGGCTGAGTTGATCACACCGTTGGTCAGCTCATTAGGGTTGGCCTACAGAGAAGAGAGGTAGAGAGTGAGAGGGTGAAGGAGGCATCGCTCTCACATCTTTCCAAAGCTTTTCAGAAAAATAAAGCATCTCTTTCAAATACAGACACCTCTCCCCCTTCGGCGTGAAGCGAACACATCACCACACACCGAGCAAAATGTCAATTTAGTTTAGGTGGAGGGGATAAAAATAAAAAACCCCATCACTTCCATACACACACACACTCCCTCAATACACATTCAGTATGCATTTCAATGAGAAACCATCCATTTTATCACTCTTTGAAGCTCGCTGGCACAAACCACAGCACCCTCACCAATGAGTCCCCACCCAGTCCTCCCGTGCCCTTCCTAGACGCTCGCACTTAGATGTGCAATCTGTCCCCATAGTGTGATTTTTTTATTTAATACTCCTATCAATGCATTTCAAAACTTTACAAACGGTTTCAATTTACATTTTGATGAGAAAGTGAACGAAGCATGGCTGACACAGGACGCGCACATATGTAGCACACAAAGACACTCGGTACCTGGAAATCCAGCAGAGCGTCCAGCTGGTTCTGGATGATGGGCAGCGTCTTGATCAGCTTCTCTGTGTTCATGGTGCGCATCACGCCGTCAATACTGACAAAACAGGAAGCAAAAACGCACACAAACACACAATTACAGCAGGCACCTGGTGGACAAAATTTAAATTCTGATGCAAATTAAGAGGATTCACAAAAAAGGAATGAAGTGATGATCCAAAACTATGTGAAGCATGTAGTAAGTGAACCGATATTTTGCATACTGAAGCATCCTCAGTAGTGCAAAGTGCTTTTTTGAGGTGCAACAAATGGGAGACTGAAAACACTCTCTGATAAATAATGAGACTCTGCTCAGCTGGATCAGCGTGACACAGATTCAGTGTCATTCCACCGCGGCTGGACTTTCTGAAATTGAAATGATTGTGTGCACACACAAAACCTTCAGAAAGGATGCACCCACTTTCACTTGAAAACACAGGGCTCCAGGGAGGCTGTAAAGCTTTAGCGGAGGGATTAAAATACCACAAATGAAGTGTCATAATCTGCATACGACGGCTGCAATTAAAGGTTTAGTTGAGAGAGAGGAAAAAAAGAACAAACCCCCCCCAAAACCCCTGAATACCCCATAAATCTCCAGTTCCTCTAGTGGCCATTTGAGTGGGCCCAAAAAATGAGACTTTCACGTTAAGATATTCAACTTTAAAGCAGACGTAAACATGTTTACAGCCAGATACAGAAACATTTTTGGGCCCATTGTTATTCTCCTTTTATATGCTTCCTACATAGTTTCATTCTCTTGGTGAAATACTGCGATTCCAATTCATTCAGTATTTTTCTAGAATTTATTATTATCAATCACTCAGCTCCAGCTTTCAGGAGCGGAAGTCCATTTTCTTTCCCCAATGTGCAGTCTATGAAAACCACAAATCTACTCAAGTTGACTGAAAACTATCTGCAACTTGTGTTTCATGTGCTTGTTTTTTCCCGTCCTAATTCTAATTGCTTATTTCTTTATTTCAGCAAGCTGGATGCAACATTTTCGCTTTTCCCTTTCTGCAATATTTCACATGCATCCAACAGAAAAATGTTCAGTTTTGTCTGAAATGTCTTGCAGGATAAACTCTAAAGAAAACAAAACAAAAAAAAAAAACCAAAAAAACTTTGTTTGCTGTCCAAGTTTGAGGTTTTGCAGAGAAACTGCTAGTTCTGTCTTTGTCTACTGCTTCTCTCTAAGTGCATTGCCAAAAGATAAACACAGTCTCCGGCTGTGTGACAAGATAAGTGTGAAATGAAGAGTAAAGATGACAGTGTGTGTGTACCCTCTCTTCATCTTGGTGAAATCCACAGCCACCAGTCTGTAGGACATGGCCTTCTCATTCAGGTAGCGACTGTATCGCCTGATGAAGGTTGACATGTCATAACCTGGTGGAGCAAAAAAAACAAACTGTCAGAGGGAAAGAAATATCCTCAGTGTGAGTAATAAATAATATTTTGACACTACTTTTGACTTTTAAACACTTTCTTCTTAATTATCAGAAACATTATGGTGTTCAGAGTGATGTACCTCGAGGCAAATCAACCCCCATCTGGTTCTCTGAAAGGAAATTGTGCTGTGAATGATCTTCACAGGGGTTTGTGTGTGCTTTACCTTGCAGAGCTCCCTTATCCAGGAAGTTGTTCAGGTTAAACAGAGTGTTTCTGGAGGCCAGGTACTGGATGAAACGCTGCAATAAGAAAAACAAAAGTTAACACTTGATTGATTTAAGGCTTGCAAAGTGCAAACTTAAAAATAAAACAAATGAACCCAGACAAAAGGGCTGGATTTACTGGAGTTTTGACAGATACATTTCCCACTGCTTAATCCTTCGATGGATGTGTTTTTCTTGGGAATCATCTTGGAATTATTTCAGTTACACCGCATTTGTTAATGTGGTTGCTTGTATGAATCCCAGATGGTTGAAAAGGCTGTGTGCAAATGAACCAAAAACACTTACAGTAAGAGTCTGGAAATGGACAGTGACATAAGTTTGGTTCTGTAAAACAGATTTGAACTGAAACAATCCAACATAACTAAAGTGTTGATTCTCCGCTTCAGGTTTAAGTGGCGGAATAAAAAAATACAGCTTCAACCATTTAGAAATTCCAGCCTGTCTTTTATACACGGTCCCCACTATTTCCAGAGACTGAAATCTAATTGAACAAATGAATAATTTCCCATCACCAGTTAATGCAATATTGAAGCTTAGTCCCTTGAATCAAAGCTGAAAGTCAGGACTTTAGTTGCATCTTCATTGTTTCTTCACAAATCAAATGTGCTGGCATACAAAGCCAGACCAAAGCCTTTACCTCAAATCTCTACAAAATCAACACTGAGCATATGTACAGCTGGATTGCACTGCATATCAGTAAAGCATAATGCTGATGCACGATCTGTGAGGCTACAGTTGGACAAAGCGGAGCATGGTGACATGTTCAGAGTGTCATCTATGCTACAAAAGCGCCCACACAGCTACGGGCTGATGGGGATGTCACAGAGTTTAAAGACAGTTGGTCCTAAACCAAGTCAACAAATTGAAATTATGACCTTGTCAAACTAAGGGGTGGCGCTCTGACAGAACACAGAGCCAAATTAGAAAGACGGAGGAAAGCCCACAGATGATGCAAAAGACGCACACAGTTACTGAAGTCCTGTTTTAAAACCCCAAGATGAGTTTCTGTCATCGTGATCTTGGTCACGGAAAAAACCAGATGTGACGAGGAGGGACTGGTCTGAACGTGAAACCACTTGAGAAAAATAAAAGTACCACAATCGATTAATCATGGCATGAGCAAGATTTACAAAATAGATTTCAGTAGGTCCTAAAATTAACGATCCCATAAATTCAGCAGCTAAGTGTTTACAAAGGTCAGGTCAATAAAACATTTTCTCATAGATTTCTATAGGACCAGACGTCTCTTTCCAACCCCAGCTATCATCACCTGGTGGCCTGCACAGGGCACTTGTGCACTGGCTTCATTTTGACACCTCAGTTTGAAAAGCTTAGAGTGTTGTTGTCACCCTGCTGGGCGAGGGGGCAGGCAGGCAACTTTGGGAACATAACTGGAGAACTAGCTGACAGGATTTGGTAGCAGGAACTGACACCATAGATGTACCTACTAAAAATCTGTGACTTCAAGGTCAAAATCAGAGGTCAAGTTTACTGAAAACCTTGTGAATGCATTAGCTTGAAAAGCAGGCTCCACAGGATTTTTTTAAAACCGTGCCACAGATGTATTTACTCAAGAACGATATCATCAAGTCCACTTTTCCTTTACCTTTATCTACTGACAATTTCAAATTTGGCACCATTGATGGAATTCATATAAGATATGAGGCACCTAGAGGAGACTGTTGTTTTAATTTGGCGATCTATAAATAAAATATATTACATGTAGCTATACAAACGCTACTGTTTCAGTATTTTTATAACACTTTTCCCCAATTTGCATTTGACAGAAACATTTCTGCTGCCCAACTATTGTAGCTGTATGGATTTGCAGGCCAGGCTTATAGTTTCAATATTAAACAGTAAGGGTGGAACATCCTATAACCTGGTATAAGATGACCTGGTAACTATGTGTTCTACAACATGTGTCTCCAGGGGTTTTTGTCACCTAAACATTCTACCGCCACAAACTGAGGAAGCTACCTGCATGTTTTATTGCCTTTGGGTAAAACTAAGTTAAATGAATATGCTTTCAAAAATCTGTAGAAAAGGTTTGTTACTGTTCATGTGTGGTGTGTGAACCTTTTACAGGTTCTGAAGCAAGCGCGACAGGAGATGTCCCAAAAGTCTCAAGGATTCATCCTCTCAGTGACCTAAATGTGGAATCTGACCACCAAATCAACCAACTACATAGTCCCCAAGTTGAGATTTTTATCTGGATATAAAGTATTACTGGAGTCATTAGGCTTCCTCCCCTGGAAACTTGAATATCTGCACATAACCTCTTCAAAAACTGGACAGAAAAACACTTAGTGCCATATTTGCAGCATGAATTCTCCTGTTATAAGGGCTATTTAAATAACTGGAGACATAAAACAGTATCTACCTAAACACACACACTAACCTCAGACAGATAACAGTTTAAACCCACTAAAAAAGGCTTATATGGAAGTCTCCTTTAATATCAAGTACACAGTGGTATCTGCTTTGACTCAAACACTTCACTGCGATGACCAAATACTCATGTTTTATTTGCCTCCAGCGCATGTAGTCTGTGTCTAAAAATTAACTTCTCTATTCTTGTTTCTTAGGATTCCTTTAGAGTAGCTCACACAGAACTGGCAAGAGGAAGCAAATCATTAACCTTTGGGAAGCAGGAGAGGGTTGGCAGCACAATATAATAAACGATTATGCAAACAGCCCTTTGCAAATGAGATCAAATCTTGAGCTAAAAGTCCTCTCATGACAGTGACAAATCATGTCACTGCTGCCATTTAGACTTTCTTGACAGCTTTGTTTATATTTGAACATTTTCCCACTGCAGCGTGACGTAAAGAAACCTGATCCTGCCAACTCTTAAATACTAGTCGCTTGTTCTTTTTGACAAATCTGATGTCACCGAGCAGGTGTGGGAAGCCTTGTACTTTCCATTTTCCAGGAAAGGTTTTTGCACAGCATGACTGCTTTTTCTCTCGCACCTGGGAGCTGCTACTGTCCGCTGCTGGTCAGCTAACTTTGTTTGTTTCTTGCTTTTTCTTCTCCCTATGTGAGAGTTTCTGAATGTTGAAATATTAATAATGTGCAGCACTTTATTTATTCACTTTCTGAATCTTTGATTTTTCTGGCTAGAGCTGAATGAGCCAGACTTTTGGGAGGACCACAGTCTCCGAGTAGGTCCTGGCAGCTCATGCATATTTACTTTAGGAGAAAAAAAAAAGGTCTCAATCAATCTGGCAGAGAGCAACAAACCAGTGTTACTGACTTCCATTGCAAACAATCCCACTTTAACCATTATGTACAAGCTGTCCTCGACTTCAGACTTGACTTAAGAATTAGTAAGGTGCTGTCCAGCTAAGCCCTGTGCGGCTGTAAACCACAGGTATGTGCATTCAAACCAAGGTGTGGTAGTTTCCACACTACTTACCCGAATACTGCATTATATGTTGCACCCATTAAATTTGAAGGACTTTCAAGGCCCTGGGCCATGTAGAAGAACTATTATGTACAGAAACAGACCATTTGCTTGGGCATGCACTTAAAAACCACACAGTGTGAAGCAGTGCTAATGCTGCACAACATTTGAAGTCAGACACTGGAAATCCAGAGTTTTAAGTCGTAAAACTGAAAGACCCCACAGTTGTCACACTTCCCACTCAGAAAGTCGGCAAAGCCCCACCAACCCTCCGACTGCATGTAACATGTAGTGACACTGAAACTTTTAGACTGTACCACCACATATGTTTATTTGTGACACAGGGAGACCTGAATCCAATTTTTGACTGGAAAAACTTTAGAAAAACGTTAACCTGGCCTCTGTCTATACATTAGAGACCTAAACTTACATTTTGTCTCTCGTGAACAGTTCTGCTACCACGTCTTCCTCACTTCGTTGTTGTGGAAGGAGTCTTGGCTATTATCCACAGTTCTGGGAACTCAGGCCTCGGGCTTCCTGAAAGCATCTTAACTTTTAAGGCCGTCTCTGTCCAACTGACTTAAAATGATCTGAGATTTACCAGTTTGCCAATTCCCTATCTGGCAAATAACCAGCCCTGACTGGCTGGTCGGAGGATCTAAGAGAGGGTGTGTGTGCATGTGCGGTTGTGAGCACAAACACACTTGCAGGCATGTGTTGGATTCAGCTGCACTGATGTTTCCAAGGCCTCTGGGACTGTTTAAAAAGGCATAAAGAATGTGATTTGGTTCTTGTCCTTTTTTTTTTTTTGCCTGTGTGCACACACACAAACCCCTATTCACACTGTAGGGATTCAACTTCCATCTGTGGACAGAAATTCAGTCCCCAACAACTTAACCATTGATTTGGAGATTTTCGGTCTGGTATTGGAGGGATGTTACGGTCACCATTAAAGTTTAAGTTGAGGTCAAGGCCAGGAAGCTGCAGGGTAGTTAATGTAAGAATAGCTTAGACTGGCATCAAAATAAGTCTGACAACATCATTGGGTTATTCCTGACAAAGTCTGACATGTTTAATAAAAAAAATGAATTAACAAAAAAAAGTTAATTAATCTGCCCGCTATTGTTTCAACCAGTTAATACTTTGCCTATGAAAAAATCTACGTAAAAACTAAAACTAAGCTGATAAAATTTGGGCCCATCTCTCCTTTGTGGACTGCACTACATCCAAGCATGGCTGCTGCTCGATTGCTTCCGGGAAGTGCTGAGACACTCATCCACTACTGAAAATAGACTGAGCGATACGGGGACAAACTTTCAGAAATGCATTTCCTTCAAATAGATCTTGTTAACCAAAGTCTTTGTCTCTCTACCTCAGTTACACGGACCTAGAGACTGGTCCGCAACCATCTGGAAACCTCTCGAAGGAAGTGAAAAATGTGAATTTCCCAACCACTTGGCAAGTGGCTGCTGTAAAATAAGCTGGAAGTCAAAACTGCAACAGATTAAAATCTAAAAAGCCACCCTACAACAATGCAACTTCAAGGACAGAACAGCACTTGAACATTTCAGCAACCCTCTGTAACGTTTAATGGAGAGCAGATTTC